GCCAGATTCACCGTTAAATCGTGGCGTACCTGGTGTGATGACGGTTGGCGATGATTATGCGCGTAATCCATTAATGTCAACACATTCTGTCAGTCAGATCCCACCGAGAGGGTGAGTCTGTTTTTCAAAAAAAAAAAAATACTCAGAAAATGAAGAATTATGATAATATCCTAATTTTCTCTGAATTACTGTTCGGTGAGAAACCGATGGAACATACCTTATTTTATCAGTTTTTTGGTAAAATGCAAACCCTTCATCAAAAAATGATGAAAGTAGAATTTTGGTTTGGTAAAATCCCTTACTATGGTTTAGGAGTGTTAACTTTGAAGGCGAGACAATGATAACCGGTGCACCAAGGCCATTGCGGAAGGGCTAAAGTCTTGTCAAATTGCTTCTGTCGGAAAAATCATTGAGTCGGTAATCCTTTCAAAAGACGAAAAATAGTCAGGATCATCGGCAGGCTGATCACCAGACGATTGGTCGAAGAAACTGAGGAAATCGCCAAGTATATAGCTGGAGAATTGAACTAATGTAAAAAAGCTAGCCTAAGATATTCCGATTCATAAATTATTATACATCTTCCCTCAACACCTACACTGAACATCGCTATCAGATTGATCGCGACAAAACATGCTTTTTCTTCCCGAAAAAAACATGCTTTTTCTACACAACATATTCGATTTGCAGATCGTCGAGGCGATCAAATTTGGGCAGTAGCTCCATGGTCACTCGACGATCTGCTGCAGCTGCAATGGATGCAAATGCACCGATGAACCAGTCCAGTAATTCTAGCTCGTAAGTTCATTTCCCAGGATTAGTATCAAATTGTGTTTTGGTAACGGGATAACGGGATCGCCTCATCACTTACCATCCCTCAGAGTGATGACCACTGTCCCCAAAGTCCAGTCCGGAACTTTTGACTAAAAGATCCCAGTGGATGCAGTTAATGGATTCACACCTTGCGCTGTTTTGCTGTGGCTATCGATTACACAGTAGTAGAATGCCAGCGTTTAACTTTTTTTTTTTTGTAAAAGATTGATTTTAGATATTAGTTAACATCGACTTCTAATCCAGTCACAGCCCTTGGGCACTTAAATACCTGAATCAAGGCGAAATTCTTAGATTTTTTTCGAAACGCATCATTTTTATACCGATTTTAACCGAACTAATTTCATATTGGTTGTGATCACACTGATTTTTGTATTAATTTACGCGCACGAATATTATTGCAGGAGTCCAGTTTCCACGTACGATACTTCATCAAGTCAGGGTTCGTTTAGTGTATATCAGAATTCAAACTCATCACTGGGCCCAGAAAACTGTGCAGGTTCTTCAAAAATTCATACTATGCAAAAAAATTTGGCTCTTTTCCCTCTACTATTGAATTTTAATCGAAATTTTCATCGGCACTGAATTTATAACTTTAAAAGTTAGTTTCCCTTATCCCTCCAAAAGTAAATTACACATAAAAATGTACTGCATGCTTTCGTTCCTATAACTTTTATAAATAAGATGGATTTAATCCAATTTTTTACTTGTTTTCTCCCTGTATAAACCAAACTTTAATCCAATTTAATCCAATTTTTTACTTGTTTTCTCCCTGTATAACCCTGTATAAATCAAAAAATGACGCGGATCTTTGACTTCCTATCTATATATTGCTTCCTCTCTGTTTATATTACTGTTCCTATTTGCGCGTTACTTCTAAATTTTTTTGATGAGCTGAAAACAGGAATTTCATTACAGACAGAAATTGGAGAAATAGAAGTAAAAAGCAATGTCTAGTAATTCTACCATTTATATCTCATTCATAAGTGGAAAAAGAATTTCAATGGACATGGGGGAACTTTTATAAATTGCACCTTCCAGATATGGATAGGGAAATACTTGGTGATGGCGAAGTACCAC